AAAGGTGTTTCAATCAGAAAAGTCGGCAGTCTGAGGAGAAGGTGGATTTGTCCAGAGACCAACTCTGAAGATTCTGCTTGGCCATGACCAGTTTTAAAGGGAGAAATGGGGAAGAATCTCAGTGAATCATCAGAGCAGGATGTTGGATTCTGATCATTCTCCATTGCATGAACATCTCTTCTGATGTTATCTTACCTGTGTGATCTGCCTGCAGGATTGCTAAAGGGGCTGCTGGGGTAGACAGCTAGTCATTTTTTAACTACTTTATTCTTCATCCTTACTTCTTTTTATGTAGAAAACCAATCAGCAGTTTAGACAAGGCATACGTAGTGTGCATTCAGGACAGCGTAAGTCAGGAGTTAGGTTGAGTTGCTGAGTGAATCTCGTTCCTAGAATTAAGGTCTTTTTAAAATTATTTTAATTTGAGGCTAATTACTTTATAATATTGTGGTGGTTTTTGCCATACATTCACATGAATTCGCCATGGGTGTACATGTGTCCCCCATCCTGACCCTCCCTCCCACCTCCCTCCCCATCCCATTCTTCAGGGTCATCCCAGTGCTCCAGCCCTGAACACCCTGCCTCATGCATTGAACCTGTACTGGCAATCTATTTCACATAGGATAATACACATGTTTCAATGCTATTCTCTCAAATCATCCCACCCTCGTCTTCTCCCACAGAGTCCAACAGTCTGTTCTTCACATATGTGGCTCTTTTGCTGTCTCGTATATACCAGAATTGAAAGAATTAGGGTCTTTTAAGGCTGGAGGAGAACAGAAATGAGCAAGCAGGACAGGGAGCAAAGGATCTGTTTTCATGTTCAACTCGATATCATTTGGACACTTCAAACTTAATGTGGTCAAAACTGAATTCATCTTTACCCTCAAGTCTTGGAGCACTCAGATGTCCCTCACGCACTGTGTTCTTACATCCATCTGTATTTCATACATCAGTTGACCATGTCCAAAATGTGGGGGTCCTCTATAACTGTTTATCCTAGACAGTTACTAAGTCATGTCAATTATTTTCCTAAATATATCTCAAGCTGGTCTTTTGCAGGCCCCTTTTAACTCTCACTTGCATTTCTGCAGTACTTTATGAATTGATTCAGGGGCCCCACTCTCAAATGCCTGTACATGTCTACATATCAATTCCCCTTTAAATCTTTGCCTCTTTACCAGTCTGTATCTCCTATTATTAACATAAATACCTTAAAGTCAGAAACTGGGGTTCATTCATTGTTTTATCTCCACTTTGCATCCTGGCTAGGGGTAAGCCAACAGCAAATCATTGTGAACTGAACACACAAATGAACAGAAAGATACTTTCACATCCCTTGTATGGTAGTACTTTGAACTCACACATATAGAAATTACTTAAAATATTTTTATGAGCAATGGCTTTCTTGCCCATGATCAGTCTTCCATCCTCACAAGTCTGCCTGTTTTTCTGAATAGATTATATATAGCTGTTAAATGTATCTTTAAATCCCAAAGCCTACTGATTGCTTTTGGGCTGCGGTCCCTAACATTTTTGGCACCAGAGATTGGTTTCATGGAAGACAATTTTTCCATGGATGAGATGAGGGAGATAGTTTTGGAATGATTCAGGAACAGTAGGGTCCGTGATCCTATGAGAATCTAATGCTACCGCTGATCTGAGAGGAGGTAGAGCTCAGAAAGTCATGCAAAAAATGGGAAGCAGCTGTAAATACAGAAGAAACTCCACTTGCCCACTGCTCATCTCCTGCTGTGCAGCTTGGTCCTAACATGAACTGGTCCATGGCCCAGGGGTTGGGAACCCTGCTATAGTGTACAGCTCTTATTTAACAAACAAGCAAGCAATGTGTACAGTATCTCCTCTAAATGTTAAAAGAATAATTTTCCTCATGGGAATATCAGTTACATTCCCAGAGCATTGTTAGGTATGACATTCAAAAAACTAAGATCATGGCATCTGGTCCCATCACTTCATGGCAAATAGATGGGGAAACAATGGAAACAGTGACAGCTTTCATGATCTGGGACTTCAAAATCACAGCAGATGGTATTGGAGCCATGAAATTAAAAGATGCTTGTTCCTTGGAAGAAAAGCTATGACCAACATAGACAGCATATTAAAAAGCAGAGACATTACTTTACCGACAAAGGCCTGTATAGTTAAAGCTATGGTTTTCCCAGTAATCGTGTATGATATTAGAGTTGGACCATAACAAAAGGTGAGCTCCAAAGAGTTGATGCTCTTGAACTGTGGTGTTGGAAAAGACTCTGGAGAGTCCCTTGGCCTGCAAGGAGATCCAGCCAGTCCATCCTAAAGGAGATCAGTCCTGGGTGTTCATTGAAAGGACTGATGCTGAAGCTGAAGCTCCAATTCTTTGGCCACCTGATGAGAAGAACTGACTCACTGGAAAAGACCCTGATGCTGGGCAAGATTGAAGACAGGAGGAGAAGGGGACGACAGAGTATGTGATGGTTGGATGGCATCCCTGACTCGATGGACACGATTTTGAGCAAGTTCCAGGAGTTGGTGATGGACAAGGGAGACTGGTGTGCTGCAGTCCATGGGATCACAAAGAGTCACACATGACTGAGTGACTGAACTGAACTGAGCTGAATGTTGATACAGGAAAACACATTTGTCTCAGGTCTTTGGCTTCGCTGAATGGATGAAAAGTGAAAGTGAAAGTGAATTCTCTCAGCCGTGTCTGACTCTTTGCTACCCCATGGACTGTAGCTTACCAGGCTCCTCCATCCATGGGATTCTCCAAGCAAGAATACTGGAGTGGGTCACCATTTCCTTCTCCAGGGGATCTTCCCGACCCAGGGATCGAACCCAGGTCTCCCACATTGCAGGCAGACGCTTTAACCTCTGAGCCACCAAGGATGGCCTGTTGAATGGATAACTCTCTGTAATTATGGCAAGATGCACTGAATTCCTTTAGCACTCTTTTCCATCTTTGTGCATTATATATGAAAGCACCCATCTCACTATACTCTTGGAAATCACTGACATGTATGCTTCATATATTGCTCTTTAAAATCATTTTATGTTATCCCCAAAAGGAATTTGTTCCTTTGTGAAAGCCACTCAGTCGTGTTTGACTCTTTGCAAGCCCATGAACTTTAACCTGCCAGACTTCTCTATCCATGGAATACTCCAGGTCAGAATACTGGAATGGATTGCCATTCCCTCCTCCAGGGGATCTTCCTGACCCAGAGATCGAACATGGGTCTCCTGCATTGCAGGCAGATTTTTTACCACTGAGCCACCAGGAAAGCCCTGGTTCTTTTAGGAGCATGTCTTTTATAGGGCTTTTATGCCCATTTCATGGTATCATTTTGATGGTTTTTTCCTAGCTCTCTCAACTGTATTTGAAAACATCGAAATCTACCATTTTTATAAATATTTTTACAATTTTTAAAATCTGAGATCAAATAAAGTGATAATAAAGTGACAAGATAGAAAGAAATGTTTATATTTTTATATTTAAAATGTGTCTAAAAATATGTCATTTTATTGTAACTTCCAGGAGAGTTAATTTTTTTCTTTAATTGCATTATACTAATATTCTGTCATCTGAAACTGTAAGACAAGATCTATTTTATACCCACAGTGATATTTAAGTTATCCTATTAAGATCATAGTAAAACGAAGTATTGAAATAATTGACTAAAAACATATTGTAGGTAATGTCTTGAATATTCTGGTATGTTTCTATGCATACTGGTTGAAACTATGCATGCTTCAAAATTTATACTTTGTTTTGTTTTCTCATCTAAATTAAATAGTAGCCATTTCTGGCAAAAGACAAATTATTAGATATTCTTGCTTTTAAGCAGAAACTGTGTCTGTTTCCAGATTTTTGCTCCCTTTTTTGTCTTCAGGTTGTCCATATCAGGAAAATCACTGAATTTTAATAATTGATTAAAAGTTCATTCTGTATCATTTTTAAAGTAACTCAAATGTTTCACCAACAAGTGAATTCATTATCCTTCATAAAGCTTGGGCAAGTATGACCAATGCTGAACTAAAAATTAAATGAGATTTGAGACCCAGTTTTCTGCCCTATTTATAAATTACTTAAATAAATCAAGAATATTGAAAGCATAGTCATGACATATACTAAATTGCTCATAACTATGCCCAGAGTTAAAACCTACTTCCTATTTGGCATCTCAGATTACTTCACAGTGATAACAGAAATATGAGATCTCTATAGTTCTCGTAAGGAAAGTCATAGTGTCATGATGTGAATCTCACTGTAGTCTCAACCATGAGGTTGCATCAGTATATGATTATTTAAGATTAAATTTTCACTTCTTTCACTTTAAGTCTCCTTTCTCCCCTAGAGCCTTAAACACTGCCCAGTCATGGAGACATAACCCAACTTTAACTGATTATTTGGGCATAAATATTACAGAAGTTAAACTTCTAAAACTTCCCAGAAATCCACCCAAACATTAACCATGTGCTCAGTGGAAATGATGTTAATACATAAAATTTGTCCTTATTACTATTAGATAGCAATAGAGAAAATATATATTAACAAGAGCATGACATTTCAGTGCAATTCTTACCTTCTTTTTGAGCCACTGGTATAGAAAAGCATAGATGAAGCCAATATACAAAGGAGGTCATAGTTAAGGAAATTATGGCAAAATCAACCAAGAATCACTGGAATAAACTATTTATCTGGTTTTATAGTCCAACAGAGCTTCTTATTATTTAACCTTGTTGAGTCGAGACACATTATCTGTAACTGAATAAATGTGAAATTGACACATTAAAAAAAAAAGAGAGAGTGGATGTGAAAGGGAATCATTAATAAATCCCAAGAATGGGTAGAGTAACTATAATGATGTAGAAGCTCTGTCTGGGAAATCATTAGGCAAAGTCTCATTTTCCCAGTTGTCTGATAACATAATTGGTCAATGACAATATAAAATGTACTACCATTTTGCATCTCACATAGCCTTGCCCTCCTCTTTCAACTCCAGCTGTAAGCACAAGATGTACCTGGAAAGGCTGCCAAACACCAGCATCATTATCCCATTCCATAATGAAGGCTGGACTTCCCTCCTCCGGACCATACACAGCATCATCAACCGGACCCCAGAGAGTCTGATTGCAGAAATCATCCTGGTTGATGACTTTAGTGATAGAGGTAAGTCATTGTTGATGCCATTTTATGTGATTCTGTTATCACCTGCATAATCGTTACAGGCTTTTAAAATAAGGCAGATGATTATTGCAATGGCTTCTTGCTGATTCTATCTGAAAGGTGATTATGAAGTTTTGTCTATGCTGCGATGTGATTTTGTAAAATGTTGGCCAAATGCAAAATGAAATGAATAAGTTATTGGCATCATTTGGGGTATCTGAAAGAAATGTACATTGCATTTCTGTTGTGAATGAGACAGGTGTTGGCAGAATGTCTTAAGTTCTATCTTCAGCTTCAGAAAAAACACTGTGAAATATGGTGAGTACATATGAATGGTGATATGTTCCAGGAGAACCGTAAAACCTGTTCCTATTTGTGAAAAAGATCTGCTCTGCTGTTTACCAGCAAGATGGTTTCTCCAGGCTATGCTTCTCTTATTTCATAAATACTGGAAATGGTAAGTAACACAAGGAAATATTTTGACTTGGTGATTTTAGCTATTGTATTGTATCTGAACAGTAACAGCAAAAAGGCCTGGAGTGCAGAGTATTAGAAAATTTAGCATCGTTTTACTGTTTTTACTATTCGGATGAACACAATTTGGTTTATAAGTCAGGGGAATACGATTATAGAAAGTTTCTTGAGTTTAGGATTTGATAAATCATATTTGCTCTAAATACAGGAATTGTAAATACTACAGGATAAGTAAAATCTTTATATCTTGGCTGGTAGACAGGCAGAAACTTTTTCTAAAGGTATTCATCTACCTTCTGTTTCTTTGCATAAAGGAGTTTGGTTTAACTATACTGTGTGTGTGTGTAAGAATGGCAGTAATCAAGTTTGTGTATTTTTCCCGTCTTACAAGAGAATGCATCTTGAGTTTCGATGAATTAATTGAAGGTTGGGAAATGTCATTTGTACACAGAAAACTATTCTTCATAGTACTTAAAAATTCTATAAAAGTAAAACCACTTGGTGTGTTAGCTTTGAGGTTTCTGTAATGTTTTTGTCTGCAATGATTCACTTCTAATACTGATTCAGGATTCATGGTCTATTTGTATGTGTTGAAGTTTATGTGACAAAAGAAAGTTGTCTGTTGTTCTGTTAAATACTAAACTACCAACTTGGTAATTCAAATTGATTTTAAAGTACCTTTTGCCTTGCATTGCTTAGGTAGATATGTATTAAACAAGTATCTAAGAAATACTTAAAATTAAATGTATTCATTAAAATTAATTTAAATACCACAGAAACTTCTTTTTTTTTATTTTAATTGAGGCTACTTGTTTCAAAATGGTCATTATTACCTCAGGCCAAAAATGCACATTTCATGTGTTAAAGCTAAAACTTTGCTTTTAAATAAAAGAATGAAAAAGGAGGTAAAGATCTGGGATCGTAGGTACAAAACCAAATAAATGGAATTTTTTGGTTGACTGGTACCAAGAGAAATAAGACAGTCTATCTGTAGAGAATTTTCTGCATAATTAGCTTTGTCTTGGTAAACTATGTCCAACAACAGCATTTTGACCTGAGGGTAATAGAGAGGAGACACTTGCTAGCAGTAAGTGATTTGTAGAGAATTTTTTTATTGAATATCTCTCAAAGGTGCTTTCTAATGGAAAGTCCTTGAAGAGGAAGAAAAGAATGGTCTGGATTTTCAAATCCCTGTGTAGTAGCAGCTCTGATGGATGATCCCTTCTACATAGAATGTTCCTGGAAAAGAAGTGTGTTCAAGATGGTCGATGTCATTGCTTTTCGTGAAGTGAAACAACACAAATAGTGTCATCTGGGAGTGTGATGGTGATTTTGACTTTCCTAGTGGACATTTTTAAGGAGAATAATTATGTTGTAGAAAGGCGGACCCCTTCCAGGCTCTGAAACTGGACTCTTGTCTAACACTTGGAAATAAATTGTCCGAGGAACACATGTGCTGATAAAGCAAGAGATTTTATTGGGAAAGGGTGCCCAGGGGCTAGGGGTGGTGGGAGGGGAAGCAGTAGGGTAAGGAGAACAGCTCTGCCAAGGGGCTCCCAGTCTCTGGTTTATGGTGGTGGGATTAGTTTCCGGGTTGTCTTTAGCCAATCATTCTGACTCAGAGTTCATCCTGGTGGTGCACGCCTTGTTCAGCCAAGATGGATGCCAGCAAGAAGGATTCTGGGAGGGGGTCAGGCATGTGGGCCCTCTTTTTGACCTTTCCCAAACTCTTCTGGTTGGTGGTGGCTTATTAGTTGCATGTTCCTTACCAAGACCTCCTGTCATAAAACAACTCATGTAAATGGTTACTATGGTGCCTGGACAGGGTTGGGGGTTTCAGTCAGTGTGCTTCCCCTAACAATTATTTTAATGCTTTCGTAAATCTTTCCTTTGGTTATTCTATTCCTGGGAGCAATCAAGTGGAAAGTATTATTTTATAATCATTAAACTTTCAAAAGGGGAAGTTTTAGGGAATATTGCTTTTCATTTCACAGTCTGATGGTATGTGTAAGAGTAAACTTTGAAAGACATGATAAAAATACCTTAATAGTATTTTATGTTATATCATAATTCTAAAGCTTATGAAATAGGAGAGACCTTTCTTTCAAATTGTTGTTTCAGATTACAGAATCCTACCTGATAGAATGTTAGGGTTTGTGGGCATCCCTGGTGTATGGAACAGGAGAAACCTTCCTTTCAAATTTTTGTTTCCCACTACAGAATCTCATCTGCTAAAATATTGGTGTTTAAAAGCATCACTCACTTTCTGAATTGTGGGAAGTCTAGAAAATCAACATAGTAAACACAGGTTAGAATCCTCATACTGACAATGAACTGTATGACTTTGGGTAAATGAACCTCTTGGTGTCTCAAATTTCTTTATCAAACGCGGCTAAGTGACGCTTCGTCATCTGAGTTATCCAGGGAGGTGGTGATGGAGCCCGCCGTGGCTGATAAAGGAACTGTGCTCCATAGGAGAACAACTGTTCTCAGATTCTGGCTACTCCTCACCAAATACCGTCCTGAAAAACAGCATCAATTTTCTCCATACTTTTATGAGGCCATCCTCTCAATTTAATCAAATCATTTGCACAAAATTGAATCAATCAATCATTCTGTCATCTGTCCATCCATCCACCCACACATCTATCTGTCCCCCCACCATCCCCAGGCAAAATCAGAGTCCTACCTTCATAGAAGGCATATGAAGACAAATTGTAGTCATTTTTAACATGGTAGAAAAATTAGCACTGCATTAACATTAAATAAAAATCCAGTTTTACCAATAAGCAGGTAGTTTCACAGATATTGAAGAAAAAATATAAATTTTAGAATTTCAGCACAAAGAGGATAAATAGAGCATATCATCTTCCTAAATTATGTCTGTGACCTTAATGTTCATCAAAACTCGTTCAGGATTGTTTTTACTATTAGAAGAGGAGGAAGATATCCCCAGGCTTCTCATATTTACAGGGCCTCAAAGACAAAGAAGTTTTCTCTGCTTATTAGTTAGATATGATTTATAGCAATATTTTTAAAAGCTATTATACTTTATGATTTTTTTGGTATAACTCAGAAATCAGAAGGTTTTTTCTCCCACCAAGTCTTTAAAAATCAAGTATTCTAGACAAATCATAAAGTACAAGAAAATATAGGGGATGTTTTGTTCTCCTTCAGGAAATTATTTCTGAAACATTACACTTCATGTTTATTTTCAGAAATACATTCTAGCTCCAGGTCTTGTTAGTATACATTTTAACACCTTTGCCCTATAGCTCTTCTGAATATTCTCTAACGTCCTTTAGATACCGGTGATAATATTTTGGCAAGACTTAATCCAACATTACTGCTTTCTCTTTTATGTCTTGCAGGTCAATAGAATAGCTACACCTGAATAAACAGAGCCAACATGGTAGCCATGTTAGTGGAATGACATAATACCACTTGAAATTCATAGCTCCAGAAAATATGGCCACTTTGCTCATGAAGTCTTTAAAACTGACTTCATAGCAATAGAGAAAAATGATAAACTATTTTCAAATTATAGAATCATTAGAAATATTGCAAAGTGATTTTTTAAAATTGGCTTGGATTTATCCAGTTGACCTAGTTGTCAGAATGCTTTAAAAAAAAAAAAAAGGAACATGTGAGCACTTCTTGGTTTAGATATTTTCTGCAGTGAGCTTGGTAAACAGAGTATTGTTTTAGCCTCAGAATGTAAGCCTACTGCCTATAAACATGGGAAGGTGTAAGCCTGCAGGTAAAATTTCAAAGCCAACATAGTTTTTGCTTTCTGAAGCTCACCAAAGTTAGCAATTTTTTTTTTCTAATAAGGTCTCAGAAATACATTTAACAACTTAACTTGAGGCCTTTAACAAGGCTTCATGATAACTTTAAAGCAAGACTAATCCTAGGCTTATCTCCAAATTCCAGGCAACCTTTGCGGCATCCACATGGAAAATGTTGAAATGTGTGAACTAAGCTGCAGCTTAGCCTCAGAGATGGGGCATATTTGAACCTGAGAACTGGTGCCCTTATATGAATTCAAGTTCAATCCAAGGGCACTCGCAGGAGAGTTGCTGACACACTTCCCTTAACACAGGTGGGGGCTGGAACAGGGCGCTACTTTGACCTGGACTTTGTGCACAGATACACACACATGGTTACATGCACGTGTGCACGTGCACACGCACACACACACACACACACACGGTTACATGCACGTGTGCGCATGCACACGCACACACACACGCACATGCACACACACACGCGCGCGCACACCACACACACACACACACACCACACACACACACACACACACACCACACACACACACACACACACACACACACACACACACACACACACACACACTGGCGCCTGCTTGTTTCAAGCTTCCTGGCCAGAAAAAGAAGGGAGCTGAGTGAGATTCACAAACACCTATTATTCTCCATATTCTAGTTAGAAAGAAAAGCGGAAGCTTGAAACCATCCTTCCTGTCTTAGCAAATCAGCAACCTTAATGAAATC